TAATCTCTCCTTTTCATATCATAACCAGTTAGCCAGCAAATCTGCCTTCCGTGTTCTTCATCGAAAGTCTTTCCCGCGTATCACCAAGAAAGACTCCACTTATTTATAGCACATATATCCGTCCCCTCCTAGAATATGGCAGTCAAGTTGTTCATTCCGGCCTGATCCGTGATCGTGATGCTCTCGAACGAGTTCAAAGAGCGGCAACTAAAGCGGTGGTTGGAATGCAACATCTTATCTATCCCGAACGTCTAGTGGAACTTAACCTGTATCCTCTGGAAGTCAGGTGAATTGAGGGTGACATATCTTCTACACCACCTGTTCTCCTCGGGCCTAGTGGATAAGTTCATCACTTTAGCCCCCACGGTTGGAACACTGGGTAATAGCAAAAAGGTATACAAATCTCAACCCCGAACCACACTTTGCACATCTTTCTTTACCTTTAGGGCAATTTCGCAATGAAACGCATTGCCGTAAGAGAGAGTCTCTTCAACAAGCAAAGCGTCATTCAAGTCTCGACTTGGTAAGTATCTAGGTCTAGTTGCCTCCTCCTGAGTCCTCCTATGAAAAGCTTTATATATGTACTCAAAAACAAAAAAAAACAAAAACTTTTTTTTTGTTTTGCTTTTTATTATTTATCCTACCGTAGCCCTTCTTAGTTATTCTTGGCCTACCCATTTACTACAGCTCATTGTTACGTTTACTATTAATGATGCCAGAATAGTCCCCGAGGAAGAATATATATATTGCCCCTACAGTTTTCTCTGGTTTTCCAGTTGCATCTTCCAAGAACAGAAAACAAGAAACCATCGAGGATCGGGGACCATCGGGCGCCAGCCTCGAACCCGAGAGTCACTTCAAGACTCCAAGAATTCAAGACCGGTAGCCTGTAGACGACCTTCATAGCTGGTCCCTCGTAGTCCAACAAAGAGTCTAGTCGCAGCACGTTGTAAACGCTCCAACTTATCCAGTTCACCAGCCGTGCAGGGGTATGTCGCCGCACCACCATACTCAAGTCTTGGTCTGACATGGAAGCGTACAGCAGCCTGCAAGCGTCCATCGTGAACTGGTTGAAAGACCGCCGAATAGGCCCCAGAATGCTTCATGCGCTAGCACAGACCCGATCGGTGTTTTCTCGGGTCTTTAGTGATGACTTAACCATAACACCCAGGTCTCGTTCGCACGATGTTCTACGCAATATGGTTCCCTGGAAGTTGTAGACTAACTCTGAGTCAGCACGCCCCAAGGTGAGCACACTTTGCTGTGTTGACTGGAAGAGCCCACGTATCCGCCCACTGAGCCAGGTTGTTCACATCCGCTCGAAGAGAACTTCGATCATTCGGATCCTTGATTGTACGCCGGATTTTGATTTCATTCGCATACATGACGGCTGGGCTGTACAGTTGACCGGGCAGGTCGTTCACATATACCACAAGGAGCAATGGACCAAGAACCGAGCCTTGGGGGGTCCCAATGGGAGCGGAATACCACAAAGAGAGCGAGTTGCCAACACGGACGCAAAATTTCCGGTCGATGGGGAGGTCTCGCAGCCAATTCCGCATGATTACACCTATACCTATGTTGGACAGCTTTCGCAGAAGGTCGTGCGGCACCAAATCCTGTTGAAGCCGTGCAGCCACTAGTCGCCCCATTACTTTACCCACAACGCCAGTAAGGTTGACTGGTCGGTAGTTCCCAGGGTCATTCCTATCCCCAGCTTTGGGTAGTGGAACAATGGCAGCATCCTTCCACTGCCGCGGTAAACGCCCTTGAGTGAATGAAAAATTAAACAGGTTGCACAGTGGCGCTGCAAGTTCATCTGCCAGCTCCTTCAGGATCAGCGGATGCACACCATCAGGTCCAGGTGACTGGTGAACCTTTTGTTGACGCAGCTCTAGGGCCACCTCTCCGATTGTAAATGGAGTCCAGTTTAGCGCAGTGTCAGTGTCCAGTAGATGTGGCAGTGTGCTGGAGTTTGGGGTGTACACTGAAGCATAATGTGATGCCAACATACCGGCTTTGTCCTCATCTTTTTCGGCTAGTGCTCCGTCTTTGGCGATAGTCGGGAGACCAAGCGTTTCTCTGATTCTTCGCCTGAGGTAGGCATACAATCGCTTTGGTGCCAGTACTGAATCCGCTGCTAGTCGTACGTCGCATCTGGTTCTCTTGCATTTTTAGTGCAGTACAATGATTCCGAATACATCGATATACCTCATACCCTGCGTCTGTTGCACGGTACCTGGACCAGGGTTTATTCCGCTGCCAGAGGCACGCTCGCAGTTCTCGGTCAAACCACGGCGGGCCCATAGCGTGTGTTCGGTGGCGGTGAGGTGGAGAGAATTCCAGTACGAGTTGCTGGATTGCATGACAAACCAACTCCCAGGATACATCCACATCCTCAGGGTTCCGGGAATACCAATTTGTAAGCGATGCAGCCTGACGCATATCCGAAAAGGATGAGCGCCACATATTCCGTTCGTGCTGTGGTCTGTCCGTTTGGGGTACGCCACGCCTCCAGTGTATACGCAGAACGGAGTGATCACTAGATGCAATTGGTGGAAGGAAGTCAATCCTGTTCGTATCTGATTGCCTCGGCGAAAGTACCAGGTCAAGGATGGATCTTTGATCCCCAACTAACCACGTGGGCACATGAACATGCTGAACAAGCGACGGGGCCCGGACAGTGAAAAGAAGTTCTCCGGAAAACAAATCTGCCTGCTGAGAGCAGATGTCAGTTTCCCAATCAACATGGGGCACGTTGAAATCACCCAAGACAAGTCAGTGTCCATCGCAGGCGTACCTCTGTATGCTGGCCAGCAGCTCTGGGACGCACACAGCTGGTGTGCGGTAAATCACTCCAACTTTGGTATACCCTCCGGCACAAAGCTTGATTCTGCACCACAGGACTTCTCCAAATCCTTCCAAATGGGCGCAGTTCTCCAGCACTCGAACAGGGAGAACCGAGCGGACAAAAAGAACAACTCCACCAGCTCGACGTGACGATGATCGATCCGTTCGAAATACTGAGTATCCGTGGAGTGATATTTTGTAGTCCCGGACATTCGGTGTCAGCCAGGTCTCAGTGATTGCAAAAGGATCGGGATTATGGGATACACAACCCAATCTTCCAGCTCATCCCTTTTTCCCAGCATCCCTCGGGTATTGGTTGAGGCTAGCACAGCGTGGTTACCTCACCATTCGCGCCTCAAGCTAATTCCCCGTCCGTGGTTAAACAGTCTTCTGGGTCCTCCCCCGACCAAGGGTAGCCAACGCAACTGAGGGTGCTTCCAATGCACACGAAAATCCTGTATACATAAATCAGTTTCCCCTTTTTCACGGCACTCCCTGAGTTCTTCTAATGCAGTTTTCAATTTGTTGCGCTGGTCCGGATCAAGATCCCTGAGGAACCGCACCAGAGTTCCCTTCAGCTTGTGGGTCCACTGGAGTATTGCTTTGGCCTCGCTTTCTGCTCGAAGAATCACTTTCAGTGGTCGTGGAGAATTATCCTGGCGTGGTTTTCCAAGCCTGAATGCCACTTTTACTCTGATCAATGCCGCTGGTTCCACCTCGTGGCCATCAAAGAAGGTAACCATGTGCAACCTCAGCAGCTGCCGGTCGTGGTCCAGGAGAGCCTGAGCATTGGTGGCCTCGGTCTCCGGAAGATTGACAACAATAAGGGACTGATATCTCGGAGGGAGCTTCCTCTACTGCAAAGATTCCCGCGAATTGCGAGGCATCTCTCAACTGTCCGTGAGGGCGATGCAGCAGGCGATACCCTTGCCCTTTTTTTCGGGTGCTTTTGCTGCGGTGCAGTCGTAGGAGTTGCTTTTCTAAGTGGAGTGGAAATGACATCTGCATACGAAGGGGCCATTTTCACAACAGTGGCCGGCATTATGGGAGTTAGAGGGTTTTCTTGGCAGGAGAGATTCGTCCTCCTTGGATGGAATGACCGAGAACCTGCAGCACACGATCTTTAGGAATGGTGAGGGGCCTTTCTGTGGCCATTCATATTTGTCTGCGTCGATTTGGGTGCATTTGAAGTGCAGCCACCCATCCTACTCATCACGATGGAGCCCTCTGACCCTGGAGCCCACAATCCTGGAACACGATACACACATGTTCTGGAAAGCCTCGGTTTTTTGAGACACTACCGATAGAATAGATCCCGTTGGGTGCACAAAACCATAATAGAATAATACAATTCAGCACCCAGTGGAAAAACCGCTGTGCCACAGGCAAAGATCAGATGAAGCCAGGTCGGTTTGGCTGATTCAACGACACCACCAGATATGTATAAGTGAAATAATTACATATAGGAACGAACTCACCTCGTTACTTTGTCACCTAGCGAGTGGCCAGCTCCAGAAATACCACGTCCCAGAACAGATCCAAGGCCTTTTAAAAAGCTACCACTGTTCAGCAACTTATGGCAATCCCTGGCAATCTGTTCCACAAAGGCTCCACCCGGTTTGTGAAGAATCTGGCCCCCAACTCCGACCTAGAGTGCTCTCTTTGCAGCTTAAGGCTATGACCTCTAGTGCCGCACTCTGGAGCAGGAACGAAGAGGCTGCTTAGTTCTATGCCAGACAACCCCTTCACTATCTTGAAGGCTTCTATCAATTCGCCCCTGGTCCTTCGGCAGAACAGCGAGAAAAGATTCAGGTCCTACAGACGCTGCGAGTAGCTCTTTTCTATCTATCCAGTGACAATTCTGGTTGCCAGTCGTTGTACCCTCTCTAAACACTCCATATCTTTGCGACTGTATGGGGTTTAAGCTTGCACGCAGTATTTCAGTAGTGGACGCACCAATGCCTTGTACAGTGAAACGAACACTTCTCCCTTCCTGCAGGTGACTGTGGTCCGCAGCCCGAAGAGTACACTTCTTGCTTTATTTGCAGCCACCTGACATTCCCCTGTAGGCCGGAAGTCCTTTGTGACAATTATGCCTAGATCCTTGACTTCAATCGTGCCCCGTAGCGCTGCGTCCCCGGTCGAGTCTACATTGGTAGACAGTAGCTGATACTTGGCAGGATTCAGGGGTAAATCCCATCGAGCCGCGCAGCTGCGAACTGCATCTAGGTCCTGGGTTGGGTTTTCACCTGCTATCTTCATATCGTCCACAAAGATGAAGCAGGGATCGTGCAATTATAGCGTGAAATCGTTGATGAAAAGAGGGGAAAGAAGGGGCCCAAGAACAGAGCCCTGGAGCACCTCGCTTGTAACCCTTTCTGACAGCGATCTGTACTTGCCAACCAGTACAGCGAAGCTACGGTTGTTGAGAAATCGCTTTAACCACTGAAGCGCTGACTCGACTATTCCAGACGTTGATAGTTTCCTGTCAAGTAACGTAGGACTCACCGAGTCAAAGGCGTTGCTGAAGTCTAAGTAGTATACCTTAATGCCCTACCCTGATCCAACCGACGTGCAGTCTCGTCGAGAAACATAAGTAGATTAGTTAAGCACGACTTATTTCTGGTAAACCCGTGCTGTGCAGGAGATAGAAGTCCATGAGTTACCAGGTGCGCACATATTTCTTTTTTGACTATTCGTTTAAGGCACTTGCACAATACTGATGTTAAACTGACCGGCCTCGTCCTCACCCACTATTAACATCTGCAGTTCGTTTCCCATGGAATCCCCCAGAGGGTTCCCGGCTTCATCACCCTGGGACGAACGATAGACACTTTTGAATTAGTCAATCAGCGTCTGAGCCCGGTCCTTATCTGTACTGGCTATGTTGCTGCTAGCCATCTCCAAGGTTCCAACACTTTTACGTGTGGTTCCTTTGGACAGTACATAGATAAAAAACCTTTTGGGGTTCGTTTTAAAGTTTCTAGCTAGTTTCTTTTCATACTCGAACTTAGCTTACCGCTGCATTGCCTGTGACTTATTTCTAGCCAGCTTGTAGTTGACCCATAAATGTGCGTTCCGTGAAGCTTGTGGAAAGCCCAGCACCATCTACGAGACGTGAGCTGTCTTTATATTCTAGGCAACCACCAAGGAGGTCTGCTTCTGGATCTATGCGTCGCTCTTCGATTGATGGTTCAAGTGAAACAGGAAGCAAGCTTATGCTCTCAGCAGCTACATTTAGTTGCTCCTCGTTGAT